GGAGGCATTAAACTTGGGGCAAAATGCCAGTAGTACCATGCGGTCCATCCGCCATACCATTACATTTGAATGTCTTTTTCGTCTCCACCACAAAGAAAGATGAAAAGTAAACGTGCTCGTCATGAAAAGCATGGTAACCTACGTACGTAATTTTGGCAAAGAAGTTGTAGCTGACTGTGGGCTGTACCTCTCAAACACCCTACCCTACCCGCCCACCAAGAAGAAGAGCACGACAAGTCACTTGCATAGAAGTGTATATGTATTTGGCGACACAATAGGCATGTGCCTTATAAACCTCAACCTTAATTAGGTGAAATCAAATTAATTATTAATTTGCTAATAGGATTGTACTTTTGGCAACGAAGGCAAAGGAAAAGTGCATCTTTTGCTGCAACTTACAGTTAGAACCTCAGAGATAGGTCCTTTTATCATATTTTTTTATTATTTTTTTAATCTCAAGCTATAATTCATAAGCCAAATTTTATTTGAAGAAGATGATGTGGGTTAGCTGAGATCAGTTAATCATGATAGGATAGTGTCTCTGTTCTATTATTTGAATTCGATTCCCCTATTTCGTAGTTTAGAGTAATTTAAAGTATTTTATACTATCGTTTATATAAAAAAGAAGTTTATTTAAAGTGTATAAAATCTTCACAATTTCGGTTCAAGCCAACAACCAAAAACAGCCTAGGAAACTTGTTGGTGTTCTAATCTTGTCCAAGGCAAAGATCTCTTATGCACTATGAAAGTAAAACCCACAATAGCAATTGTCGTTACTTTTCTTGTATATGTATGAAAACTATTCTAAACTACTCAAAATTACAACAAAATAAATTTACTCTTAGGTGCAAGAAAACGGACACACTATCATAGTCGGTCGACATAGAATCGTTTCATAGTGAGGGTAGCCCTTAACCCAAAGGCCATAGGCACTGTAAAATCCTTGGACCGACTTTACCGATGTCTACCCACAATTACACTGGGTAGGACTCTGGGCCATGATCTTGTCGTATTTGCAGCAGGCCCAATTATCTACATGGTTCAAGAGTTGAGACACATGTCGTATTGTGATGAAGCCCATCATCTTAGTATTCTAACACAAAATAATCCAATTGACCAAACGACAGAAAGTAATCGTTTGTTTTTAGGTGGGCACAGAAACAGAAAGAATTGGATAAGAAGAAGACCAACCGACAAGCAAAGCAGGCCAACAACTCAACTTTAATCATACAGCAACCATTGCGTCCCAAGTGAAAATAGGTTACGATAAATAATATTTCTATTTCAATACAATTGATTCCTTGATGGCCTTGAGTTCTTGACCTATTTGCCTTCCTATTCTTCATTTCTTAACGTTGAATGGAAACACTAGAAGGTCGTTCCATCTCTGTATTGAAAAGGAAAGAATTTAATTCTGCGGTAATACCTTCCCCACTCTCACCTGTGACGAATATTGACGAGTTTTCAGCATGTGAATATTAATACAAGTCCATTTGGGTATCTTCACCTGTCTAGCCTGGTTCTTAAGTAACAGGTGATAACTGGTGTCTAGTTGCTCGTGAGGAGGGATCCGGTTTCGGAATATTTCTGTGCTTTGCTCATCATCTTTCTCAACACTTGATATATGTCCATAATTATAATCATGATTACATAAATTAAAATAAGAAATTAACAATAATTATGCCTCTAAACAAATGTTAAGAAGAATGGTGTCTTGAATTAAAATGATGAGCAAAAATATTTCTTACTAAAAAACAACTGTGTTGTCTCATTATTTGTCAGCAATAATGACAGATTTTGACAGAAGACTATTCAAATGAAAAAATTAATTGAATGACTAAAATGACACTCAAATCACTCAGACAAAAATTCATGGACAATTTCAATTAAAAACCAATAAAACAAATAAGGATTTTTTATTTTATTTTTTTTGGGGTCAGATTTTTTATATGAGTCACATAAGGTTGAAATATTGAACCAAAATTACGTAAGGAAAGTGTGTTGCACGTGTCAATATCTTGTATTTAAGAATTAACAAGCAAGACACGCCACCATTTCGTCTGTAATCTTAAAGATCATCACCATTAATTATGTAAAATAAATTAGAGATATGCCTTTTTGCAGCCTTGGTCGTATTTAATTAGTATAAATGCGGATTTGCCTTGTGTTAATCGGCTTGATATTCTGCCCCACGCGGTTTAGCCGCCCGCGTTTGAGCCACCGCCTTCTAAGAAACAACCTCTCCATTAATTCTTCGCCATTCTCATATGCGTCTGCTTCTCCTCTCTCTACTATAAATATCTTCATCTCTCATCTCTAAACCCGTAACTCAAAACCTTCCAAGTATTTCTCATTCTAAACCCCTAACATCTCATATTCTTTTGAATTTCACAGCCTTTCTCCAAAGATGAGTTCAACAAATTCCACAGGTACTGAATTTCTGCACTTCAATTACTAGTTTTTAATTAGCAACTTGGTACTCTCAAAACACTTTGAAAATTCATTTGTTTGGTCTTTGTTGTTGGTGGGTTGCTTAAAGTTCTGAACTTCAACAATATAGAAAAAAGATGTCTTTGAATATGGTTATTGACAATTGTCTGATGAATTTCATGTAGCAGCAGCATACCCTGCCCAAGCTCCCAACTCTGCCCAGCAATATCATGTGCAAGCTCCACCTCCTGCAGGCTACCCAACAAGAGACGTGCCCCAGAACTCTGTTCCTGTAGAAACCAAGTCAAAGGGTGATGGCTTCTGGAAAGGCTGCTGTGCTGCCTTGTGTTGCTGTTGCGCGTTGGATGTTTGCTTTTGATTGAAACAAGTCCACCCAATAATCTCAGTATCTCTGATCATCATCATTTATATTTATACAATTCAGAGTTGAGTTTTAGTTTTTTGTGTGATATTGAAGAAGAGACCATGTAGATTGGATACAGTTCCGGATTGTCCAACTTTCGTCATATTTGTATAATAATTGTTATTCATTTCAGATATCTGGCTGCTACTTTCTTTTTTCTTTTTTTTTTGTTCTTCTTCTTTGTAGTGGTGGTGGATTTGTTTCTATGTATATGGCCAGATTTAATCCCTTAATAATACAGAATCGTGCTCTTTTTCTGTTTTAGTTCAAAGTCTTTTGTCAATGTTCAAACATTAGGTGAGAGTTGATGGTGATCAATGGGGTATGAAGATCATACGAGTAAACATAAAGCAATCAAGCCAGCGTGTTTGACAAACTTGTCATTGATATTTTTGACATGAGGTATATCTGGTCCCATTGCCCACTCTCTTTTATATGCTTTGTACAAATTCCGTTTAAATAAAATTATCAATATTGTTGATGTCAAAAATTAGGTGAACGAGATAAGGCCACGAAATACACAAATAAACCCTACAAATATATCGTGGCGCACTCAAATGGATACGTCTACGTTGAGTTGTATAGTTGTTTTCACTATAATTGTTGTATGGTTGTTTTCACTATAATAGAGGGTTGTCACGTTGTACACATGCTTCTGAGCCTTTGAGAAAGTAAAATGAGAGTGCGTGACAAACTAGGTTACAAATGAAGGAGGGAGTGTTCCCTTAGATAAGCAAGGCTTTGGCCTTCTATTGTGAGCTTCATGTGAGCTCAGTGAGGCTAAATTATAGTAGTAATAAATATCACATCCAAAACTATGAGTGCCCCGACTCTGCTTGGGCCACCTCCACCCTCAACTGTCTACTGAATTATAGTTAATATTTGTTGTTCGAATAAGATTGGTTATAGAAAAAATCTTGGTGCTACCCATTGCTTCCACTTGATATGAAAGATAAATCGTGGATCAACTAAGCCGCCTCCGAAACTTGTTTAAGAATAAATAAAAAAAAAAGAGAGAAATTTCATTTAGATACTGTTGATGCTCAAAATGGTTGGGCCAAGATTGAGTCCAACTTAGTGATGATGTGTGATGGATGATGGATGAAGGTGAGGACCTTAAGCATGTATGTAAAGACTTGGGCAAGCGATAAATGTAAAGAAGACAAGATATACGTGGTTCACCCTTAATGAATGGGCTACGTCCACGGAGAAGTGTGTTCTCATTATAATAGTGTATGATTACATTTGTACATTGGGTTGGACC